GTAGTACTGCAGAGGGTATATTGCTCCCTAGCATCCCACAGTGCTTTGCTCTTCTTACCTCTCCTCCAAGGAGAGAAGGCTGCGGTCGGCTCAAGTGGCACCCTCCATTCCCAGACCCAGCTGTCCAGTGAGTGCAGGAGGCAGACCAGGCTTGTTCATACGGTTCAGAGCAGAAATGCACCTGGGACCTGGGATTACAGCTCTGCTTGCAGGCACCAGTGCTGCTACCACAGCAGCAGCAGGTCCCCCCATCACTGGCCTGCCTGGTCCCCCTTTCCCTGGTGAATGCAAAAAATAGTAGGCTCAAACAAGGAGATGCACTGTCACCAGTGCCTTTCAGCTTGGTGCTTGAGAAAGTTATGAGCCACTGAAGGAGGAAAAGGTCTGAAGCTGAATGGACTGTGCCAGCTTTTTGCGCATGCCTAATAGGAGAGGAAATGGAAACGGCACAAAAGAATACAGAGATCGTAGTCAAACGCCAAAAAAGCTGGGCTAGCTGTCAATGCCAGGAAAACTAAATACATGGTCACATCCAGAAATAAATTTCAAGATCACAGGAACATAAGGATAGGGAATGACAATGTGGAAAATTTAGGAAAATGGAAATATTTAGGAACAATCAAATATTGAGGACAATCAAATAATTGAAGAAATCAAGGCAAGAATTTACAGTGCTATTATATGCTTGTTGAACCTGGATAAAATAATGGCATCAAGGAAAGTCTCAACAGACCTTACACCCCAGCTTTATAAATTGTTTAACCTGTTCTTTTTTATGGATGTGAATCCTGACACTGACAAAGGCAAATGGAAGACATCTGCAGTATTTAAAAACAAGGTACAAAGGAAAATATTTGGTGCAGTACAAGGAAACAGAGTATGGAGGAGTAGATGTAATCAAGAGCTTGTGGACCTTACAAAAGACCTGATGACTTGAACAAGAGCACCAAGAATGAAATGGGTTGTCTAATTGTTCTGTGCACCCTCTCTTACTAAAGATTGTCATTTTGATGATGGTCATGTTGGTCCAGAGAGCTTATGAGAGCTCTAAATGGTGGACTTGTTCAATTCCATATTCATCTCTGCAGAGGACCTCCTGACTTCCACTTAAATTGGTGTTGAGACCCAATCCCAAACCATGAACCCTGGGGCTCAGGGACCGAGCACCAGCTTAGCCCTTCACTAGGCTGCAGCTCACAAAGGAAGGCAGACTGACAAGGAAAGCCCTCCTTCCCCCCGCCCCCTGAAAGGCCTTCCACTGTTGGCCCCTGACTGGATGTTCCTCCCTATATAAGGCTGCTTGTTTTCTGGGGAAGCTGTGTGAATATCAAGACTCCTGCTGCCATTGGACCCTACCCCATTGTTCCTTTGCCTCCTTGCTCTGCTTCTAGATTTGATCATACATTGCTGACCCTGCTCAGACTTCAACTTTTGCTTCTGCCTCATGGCTCAGATCTGATCTGGCTTTCTCCTTAACCTTGCTCGGCCTAGCATTTTGACCCTGGCTTAAATTCTGGCCCGCTCGCTGCCCCTTGGTTCTTTGGCTAACAGTGTGTACAAATTGCCAGTCCGACCACCTACTCCGTTGTTCATGACAATCCATTAATGTGCCTGAGATTTCTCTTCATTCAACCCTAGGTCAGTATATGGGATGGCTTAATTACTAAATATTACTAAATATTATCTAAATATTAAGAAGGCTCTGAGTTCTGAACTGAATAATAAATCTGTAGATCTCCAGAATATATGTAGTTTATGGAAGTTATGCTAGGGGGGGCAGTCTACTTCCACTCCAGAATTGTCAGATTGTATTGGACTGCATGCATACCTGATATGAGCATGCACATGATCTGAATACCAGCCAAATTTGAAGTTACACTCTACAGGATCTAAAATGTCTTGCTTTATATGTGCTGGAAATCTCTTCAACATAGAAGGGTATGCAAGGACCCTTAAAACAGCATCCATGCCTTCAGTTAATACTGCTTCTTGGAGTTAGGCTTTAGAGTGGATCTCATTTAGAAGGATAGAAGGAGTAGAGACCTATCTCCCGATGCAAGATTCCTTAGACCTACTTTACTTAGGTCTACAGAACTACTTTCATGTACATATTTTCAAAGTAATAGTAATTATTGGAGCTAATGCATTGTGAACATTTCTAACTATTACCTTTTTTTTTCCTTAATAGGAACTTTAAAAATAAGTATCAAGTTATACCAATTATGAATGGATTTAGATCTCTGCACACCTTTTTTTTCTTTTTCTTTTTTTGGCTATCAGGCCCATGTCAGCAAACTTTAGGATGCACACAGCTTTAGTGTTTTGGGTTTTTTTCTATATTGTTAATATCTAGTTCATAGTAGTAACTACAAAAGCTTTAAGCTTCTGGGAAAGCATTAGCCATGTAACGTTGCATATTGTGAACTGGGCTGTGTATCTTTTTATTCAGCACTAAGGACAAATGTAAAATCAACTAATGACTCACAGCTGTGAATCTTTGGGTAAGACAGACATAACACTTGAACCTTTCCAAGAATATCAGTGATTAGGAACCTGTTCACAAATGTCCCTGGACAGAAGTGTCCACACACACGCTTCTAAGTATTCTCATATTTTATGGATTGCATTGCTGCTAAAATGCCACTGCGGGGTGGGGAGTAGAGTACCCAGACCATCATACCTTCTAGGGGTCTATCCAGAGTTTCTCCAGATTCCCCTAGAAAGGGAAGAAGGATCTGGATTAGGGCAGGGGGTTGGAGTGGAGGAGGTTGTGAGGTGTCTGGAGACTCTGTGGCACATGGTACCCAGGGGGCTAGATGGTCTGAGGCTCCCCCAAAAACTCCCGTGCGTGTGGGGTGGAACCTTCAGGGCTGGGATAGCCGCTGGCGTGCAGCCCAGAGCAAGGAACAACACTTAGTGAGCTAATTCACGTTGAGCATGGGATTGACAACCATTCTGTTCTATTAAGTGACCATTGCGGAATGGCTTTGTTTTCCCCCCCCACCACCACCCAGCAGATGACAGGGCTTTACTGTTACAGACGCAACCACCCACCCACCACAAGCAGGGGGCCACAAAGCTCGCATCCTCCCAACCTGGCAACCTGCTCCCACCTCAGATAAGCCTGGGTTCCCTGCCCAGATTCTCTAGCAGGGAAGTTAAACTGTTGCACAAGCTTTCTGTTTCCCTACCACTGTGGACTGTGGTCTCTGTAGTCAATACATCTTTCAGCAGTAGAGTCTTGATTGTATCTCAGAGTAGCCCCATTGCCCTGCATGGGTTTTTAGAGGCAGAGTGGTGTAGTTTGGGATTCCCAGAGGACTGACCAGATGCTGGGCATAATGGGCTGTGTCCATGTGTAGCATTGAACCAGTTCAAGGAGGACCAGCTTCAAATACTACTTGTTTATCTCAGTGTACTTTTGAAATGTTCCAGGAAGTTTAAACTAGTCTAAAAGGGTCTCTAGGTCTAGACCGTTGGGGTTTACAGTGTGTTTAGGATGCTCTAAGAAGTATGTCTATCCACAGCCTTTAGGCCTAAAAAGCTAGTACTTACATTAATTTCTAATTTACTATGTAAGCGTAGAATTAAGCTTTAGGTTTTTGAGTGATTGGACTTTGAAGTGTTAGAAATATAAAGAGGATGTGGGTATGGAGATTTCCAAAGAACCAACTATCTTAGTTGGAAATAACTTAGAATTGCACTCCTCTAAAATGAAAATAGCCTGTTTCTTTTCTTCAGACTTGCCAATGTGTTATACAAATTTACTAGCCAAGCATACAATTAACTTTAAGCTGATAATACAAAAAGTATTATATAGATCTTCAAAAGCTAACTTAATTTAAACCTTGACATCCAGAATTGACAGATGGTGGTCTTTGGCTAGAGTTCAAGAAATCACATAACTATATTGATTTGTGAAATTTCAACAAGCAGATTTTAAGAATGACTTTAGCCTGATAAATAACCTCTTTGAATATACTGTATGGGCCAGATAATGTGGATTAACAGTATGTATGTATGATTAGATACAGAAAACAATTTGTGTGTAAATCATATACTTTACAATAGATATGTCATATCTACATTAAAATCTTTCTGGCTGCTTAAGGTTGTTGAAAAGCTTTAAGTGAATTTTCATATTTGAATAACTTTGTTTGGGCGGGCCCCAGGTCTTGCTCTTTGTGCTTGATGTAGGGAGGGGATGGGGCCTGGGCCTGGTGTGTGGGGTTCAGTCTGCTCTGTACCACTTACTGGCCTGTGGCAGGGCCAAAAGGTTAAGCACCCCTGCTCTCAGTGCTTAGAAATATGTTTTTAATAATCTGCTCCAGAATCTTTGCAAGTATCAAGGTTAAACCAACCAGTCTGTAATTTCCTGGATCCTTCTTTCTTTTTTAATAAAGACAGGCACTATGTTTTTGCTCTTTTCTGGTTGTCCGAGACTTGGCTATCTTTAAGTTACCTTTTTTTGCATGCAGAACAATATGAAATAGTTAATGCACCAGTCCTTACAGTGTGTCAATATTGAGTTGTACTGAAGTAGGTGTAATGGAAAGTTTCCCTTCTTTTTTTTTTTTTAGTTCTTTTAAAATGTAGTATGAGCAAGACCTGAAACATTTCCATTAAAATCCTTAACCAATGGTGAGAATAAATTCCTAGCATTTCTCCTTTCTCCTGGAAGGTCTTGAGAAGAAAACAATCTATTGTATAATCTCATTTTTTACAGTTTAGTTTCGTATATGAATAGTATAGTTTTTGGATGCTGCATACAGCTTTACTGGGCACTTTAGGGAAGCTTTGTTTTTCTTGGATTTTTCATCACTGGCAAAAAAATTATCTAGAAAATCTGGATCACGTCAAGACTTTTAAACTTAATCAGCCTTGCTTTTAATCTTCAGGATCAACTGTACAGACAAAAGGTACACCAAATTAATGTATCTGTTACTGTTTTTCTCTGACATAGCAAAGATGACATTACAAAAATAAGGAAGTTTTAGATTTAACTTGTTCTATTTGTATCTACACATTTTCACTTGTATCAAAGAATTCAATTGCAGCATTTATGCCTTCTTATTTTGTGTGCAAATATTGTTCTGTGTAATTTAAGTCTCAGTCCTTTTTAAAGAAGCATCCTTTCTCAGTAGTATGTTGCCTACATTAATTTAATTAAAAGTTAAGTAGCTATTTGTTCCTTGGTATTAAATTGTTTAAACTTCTACTTAATCACATTTGGAAGAGCCTGACTGTTAATGTCACTTTATTTGTTAATGTCATGTCTCTTGTATTAGAATAAACTACAGACGGATGGTGCAAAGAGAAACCTTTTTAGATTTTTGACCAGTGTTTTCTGTACCCATAACCTAGATAGCTAAAGTTCCCTAAATGTATTTAATGATGTAATCTGCTCAATCCTTTTACCCTTGGGGGAAAAAGGTATTGCAGAATATGGAAGCAGCTAGTACCACCATATGTTTTATGTTCCCCTGCAAAATCATTCATGTTGTCAGGAGCACGATCTAATCCAGTTTGGTTTGTGGTTACTTGCAGGTAGGCACTCTGTAACCATTCAGATCTTGTACTTATCTGTGTATAAATAATTCACTGATGTTTCAAAAACTGTTGGTTTCTATTTTTAATGGAGGTAGAAATTCCAGCTCTCTGGTAGTGCACGTATTTTTAATGGCTCTCCTGTTTTGAATAGGATGTATGCCAAACTTTGCAGTGATAATGTAGTGGTGTTCTCAGAGTACTTTGTGGCAAAATTAGTGTTTATACTGTGATTGTGCTTACATGAAGCTAAGATGTAGGGTGGAGAAATAGCAACTAGAGGGGAAGCTACTCTGTAAATCTATTGTGGCTTCTGTTTTATTGGTATAAATCAAAGGTGTCAAACTTATCTGGTCCCACAGGGCTGGATGAGGGACTTGGGGCTGTTCTGTGGGCTGGATAGGGACCAACCTTCTATGATGCATCTAGTGTATGTGGCACCGAGTCCAGCCTGCACACTGCATGCAGCACTTGCCAGCCCTGGGGTTTGCTTTGCACATCGTACGCAGGCTGTACCTGGTTCTGCGCAGCATGGGGTTATGCTGGGGTGTGTGGGAGTCTCAACTGGGCCGGGTCCCCTCCCAGCCCAAGTCCCCAGAAAGGGGAAGTTCCCTACAAGATTACGAGGGGCTCACCCGGCTCGGACGTGCGTATGCGCCTGTCTCGCCTGCTGCGACTTGCTGTTAAGCTATGTTTTGTTCAGTTGGTACGGTGTGTACAGTCCGGGAATGAGACTCTCGTCTTCTTCAGAGTCCCGTTATCCTGAGGGCTCCTCCACCCCTACACCCTCGCCCAGTCCTCCGGTAGGGGCTGTCCGCCCTGTCCTGCTCTGTTACTCGGGTGGACCGTGGACCCCGCCAAATAAATAAAATATAGTCCATAGAAGAACGGAAAATCCCGGCCAAGGGTCTGGCCCAGGTTCGGGAGTCCTTGCTCCCCTCTGGGTCTTCCCCCGCTCCGAGCGGCTCCACCCAAGCGGTTCACCAGCCGTGACCCGAAAAGAAAAGTAAGGCGGGGAATCCTTCGGCCCCTGAGCCTATCCCCTAGTCACTCTTCCCCGGCCCTGATCCCTACAGGGCTCATGCCGTACCCTGCGGCCCTCTTGCTTCTTCGACCTTACTAGGTCTACTGCCCAGGGTACGGATCCCTGTCTCGGGGTCCTGCTTACCCCAAAAGGTCCAGGTGCTCTGTCCGCTGGCCCTGGTCCACTGGGGTGCCTTCACTCCGGCGACGCTTCTGGCCTTTGCAGCGCCTGCTTCCGCCGCCTTGGGCACCACCGCCTCCGGACCCGTCCCTCTTTGCTCTGCTGCCTCCGGACCCGTCCCTCTCGGCTCCGCCGCCTCTGGACCCGTCCGCACCGGTGCTCCTTTTGAATAGGCCCGGGTTGCCCCGGTGCCTCCCACTTCCAGGTTCCTGTAGGGTTCAAATTCCCGCCGCTCGTCGCTGGCCACACCACGCGAGCGGCGTTGGATTGCGTCGACTCGGGATCCCTCTGAGCTCGGCACCTGCTCTACTCCCTTACATGGGGCATGTGTTACATGTGATGCCTGCTCCACACCAGCTATGTGCACTAGTTCTGGGGTCTCTTTGGATTGGGGGTCCAGGCTGCCCATGTGCACCGGAGCCGGCGTGAAGAGCTGTTCCAGTGGGGCACCACATGCCCGGGACCAACCCCCCTTGCTGCATGCAGTACCAGATCCAGCCCACACACCATGTGCAGAGCAAGTCCCAGGGCTGGCACATGGTGCACACAATACAGGAGGCCAGCATGCAGCTCCCCACCAGACTGGCCTTGGATATTCTGTCGCATCCCAATCTGGACTGGCCCCAGAGCCAGCATGCAGACCTGGTCCAGCGTGGGTGCCACACTCCAAATGGAATCTGCGCTGTTTGCAGTATTTGGGGTCATCTGAGACGCATGGGTTGGATCATACGGCTCCACAGACCAAATCCAGCCCATGGGCTGTATATGACACCACTAATATAAAAGCCTGTCTTTTGTGTGTGTGTGTGTGTGTGTCATACATCTTTTTGTGTAGCTGTATTTTGTTCTAAGACACAGAGGCAAAGAGAACCCTCTTTATCAAAGATGACCAATGTGGAAGCTTGAGGAAGAGTTGTCCTATAACGATGTATAAAACACCGTGAGGCACAGTGTAAGAGCCAGCTGGCTAAAACAGAAGCACAAACTGCCAATTTGATAAGGTCAAAACATGAAAATAGCATACGGAAGATGCTCTTTTCCTTTGGTCTTAGAGGCTCTTTCATCAGGACTTGTTTCTGGTGAAAATGTTGAACCTGGGCATTATAAAGCAAAAGAATTAGTTTTAGTTTTAAAAGCATATTCTTGTTTCAGAAAGGCAGACACTTATGCCTTTTCTTGAGGTACAGAGTAACAGTAGTAACCAATAGAAAAATGGACCTACTCAGTGACGGGTGTGTTGAAGCAGACAACAGGTATATACTCTTACGTTAACCATCTTTGGTCTGATGGCTGTGCTGAAACATTGAGGTGGTTCCTGTTTATAGTACTGATATTTCAGCCATTACAAGAAACAAAGATTTGTGTTCATGCTTATGGGTAGGGACCTACCAAAGTCACGATTTCGCATATTTTGTGAATTGGTGGGGAGGGGCAGGGAATAACTTACTGAAAATAAAATGCAGGCTTCCCAGTCCCCAGGGTGCTGCAGCACCCCTCCAGGGCAGGGAACTGAGGAGGGAGGGCTGCCAACAAGGTGGCTGCCACATTCGCCCCTGGCTGCTGATTGGCTGCAAGGGCTGCCTGTAATGTGGTTCCCGTCTCCTGCCACCAATCACTGACGAGGGGTTTGGCCGCATGATGGACAGCGCTCGCAGCAAAGAGGGGCAGGGACACTGGAGCCCATCAGCCAATTGGGGGGGGGGGCCACCATGGTCCATGCACAAAATGGCTGCCAAGCCCTCGTTTTGCCCACAGAATTGGTGGGCAGCCACCTCAAACTAGGTAGGTCCCTACTTACAGGTATTTGAAGACACTCCTAGCTCGTGACTGGAAAGCAGGAGTCCCCAGTGCAAGTACCTGCCATTAATGAAAGAATTTAACTCTTGAAAATACCATGTTTTCCTTTCTCAGATGTGAAATATCATGGGTCCAATATCAGCCCTGCTAACCTAGACTACAGTAAAGACACTGTAAACCATAGAATTGGCACTTCAGTCCCTAGGTAGTCAAAAAGGACTTGTTGATGAAGACTTTTTAAAGTGAGCTGTAGTCAACTTCCATTTTCCTTCTAGCCTCTAAGCCCTACAGAAGTAGCCAAAAAACTACTTCTTCAAATAATGGATTTTCGTAGCCTGTGAGAGTTATTGGCAGTTTTTTTCAACACGGACAAGAAACCACTGTGTCCATGCCTACTTCAGGTACCTGTAGTTTATGTAATTAAAACAAAGGTTACAAATATTGAATACCAATATTGAACATTCCTCTGATCAAAAGTACTTTTTCAAGCAAAATATCAACTTGGAAGTGAGTCCATATTAAGAGCTAAAGTAGCTTTAGGGAAAGTACTTTTAAGGTAACTACTGGCACCAGAAAAATTACTTGGTTTGTAGCACAAGTGGATTGGTAGCTGTTGCATTACCCGTTTGCATTAATCCACTGTCTTCATCTAGAAATTATTCTTATAAATTCTTTCTATTCCTCTTAGGTTCAGACTGACAAGCTAATGGCTGGTGAAAAGCAGCGCACGGCACTCTGGGAAGCATTTCTGGAAGAACAGCAAAACAAACAAGCGGAAGTGAATGAAGAGCACAGAAAAGCAATGGAACGCCTTAAAGAGCAATATGTTGACATGGAGAAGGACTTGGCTAAATATGTTTCTTTCTGAGAACTTTCCTTTTTCAATAATACCTTTTTTTGTTCCAATACACTCGTGTTTCAGACTGTTCAATATTGAGGCTTTTTCAGAAAGCCTATTCAAAATGGCAAAAACCCCACAATTCTCCTGTATAACAAGTTTGGTTTGGGAAGTTTTACATACCTCTAACTTTAAGTGCCTCTACAAGCTTTGTTTTTTCAGGATGACTAGAGTGCCAGTATTTCTTAGTTTGTGGGGCAGGTGGAACCACTATATCAGTTCAAGAAGTTGCAAACTGGAATTCTTTGGCTTATGAAGACAAAGTTGTCTTGTGGGGGAAGAAAGCCCAATAGAGTCTTTACTCTGTCAGTCCAGAGCCAGAGCTCCATCCCAAAAGAGCTAGGTACCAGTCATAAAAGGCAGAGAATGAACAAGCACATAAATTCCACTCACTAGCTTGAAAAAAAACAGCTGGTATTGCAGAATAGAGTGAGTGCATTTTGAAAGTTCAGTGGTGAAAGACCAAAATGTATTAAGCTCGGCTGCAGTTATGGTTGTATTTTTTGGATATGTATGTTGTATGTTTTATAAAGTAGTGGTTAAGCATAAACTGCTCACTCAATAGCAAACACACCTTAAGAGATCTTGGGCTACAGTGACTCCTCTGTATGACTGACTCACAACTCTTTAGCTTTTCAATTCTGAGCAGCCAAAGAAGACAAAGGGTGACTTTCAAAAGTGCATCAGTCCTTCCATTTGTATTTTATTCAGTAAAATGTTTAAGTATTGGTCATTCTGGTGGCACTCTCAGTATTGTCTGCTTTGTTCAAACCTACTACCTATAACCTGTTGTAAAAAACCTTACAACAGTTGGGGAGAGATCTCAATCTCTGTTTTTGTCAGTAGTGAAAGTGGTATTAAAGGTGAAACATTTACAGTATTACTTTGTGTTCTTATTAACGCGTAGTATGGGACTTGTGCAGCTCCTGTCATTACTGTTCCTTTTACCTTATTTGAAATTGACATTGAATAGCAATATCATTTAAAGAACGTAAAGCTTAATTATCCTTTTGTAAACCATGTAAGATGAAATGCAATAACATTGATGAAACTTGATGCAAACTAACTTGAGGTACAGGAAATTTTCTCAAATATTTTAACTACTATGCAATATAAAATAGAAACTGGTAAAAAAAAAACAGTCTTTGCTCATTATCTGTGTTGCAAATGCAATATGCTGACAATGGTTGCTTGTGTACGTTCATGGCTTGGTGTCAAACGTCCGTTTCTGGCAGCATGTTGATAATGTGATTAAAGTTAGCAGAGGAGATGGAATAAGTATTTGAGATTTCTTTCAATAACACTGAATTCCTGCCAAACTGCTCTATCCGCTACTGTGGTTCTGACAGCTTCATCAATCATTGTCAGGTACCTGGACTGCAAAGAGCACTTGCCGATACAGAGGCATGCTGGAATGTTGTTAATTCTCAGTTGTGGGTGGAAAAAACATAAATGGATCCAAAGTATCCCACACATAAAAAAAAGTGAGGAGAACTTCCAAACGAAAGCCCCTATTAACTGCAAGGTGACTTCTGGAATGATTCTAACCATTTTATAGTCACTGATGAATTGATACTGTAACAGAGTATTCTATAAAAAACTTATTTTTTTAGTGTCTTGCATCTTTTTTGTATAGCTGTATTTTTGCTATAAGACATGGGTAAGGAGAACCCGCTTTACCAAAAATGGTGAGGAGTTTGGAAGCTTAAGGAAAAACTGGCCAATAACTATGTACAAAACACCACTAGGTACGGTTTAAGAGCCAGCTGGCTAAAACAGAAATGCAAATGTCAATTTGATAAGGTCAGGACTTGAAAATAATATACAAAAGATGTTCTTTTTCTTTGGTCTTAGAGGCTGTTTCATAAGGACTTGTTTCTGGTGAAAGTGTTGAACCTGGGCAGAAGAAATGTGGTTTTAGTTGTGTTTGTTTTTTTGTTGTGTTTTTTTAAATTTTGGAAGATGTAAATATATTCTTGTTTCAAAGAGCAAGACACTTGTTTTTATATTGATGTTCACAGTCATTTTAAAGATCAACCGAAAGCCCTGCCTTCCACAAGATGTTTTGTTAAAATGTTCTTAATTCCCAAATATTTCTGGCAGAATGCACTTAGATTTTCAGAACTGCACAAAGTTATAATTTTTGCCTCTTTTATTTTACCTCATTGAAGGAAAAGTGGTGCTGTGGCTTAAATACTTCCCAATTGAGGGCTGGCATGGCAATGATACAGATGTTGAAAGGCTAGTGTATGCTTTGGAAATACCAGCAATGGGATTTGTGCTCCTGACCATGGGTGCTTCTGAAGATCTGCTTCTTATCTTAATTATGAGAATATTGCAGTTAAAGAAAAGTCCCTTCAGATGATCTTTAACATGCAATATACCTATTTGTTGACTCTCCTCTTTTTTTTTAAATTCATTTGGGGACTGTATAAAAATACTGAATTATTGAATGACTTGACTGAACTTTGAGTATTGCGTGCTGTAGTTCTTGAAACAGATTAACAACGTATGCACGCTTTGACTGGGGAGAGGCTTGGCAGAATGGATGAAAAAATGCTTTGCTGCGAAACCGTAAAAAGAAAACTGTTGGGTTAGTTATTGTGTAGATAGTTCAATAAGTGCATTGTGTATGAATGCAGAGATTTTAACCCTGTCACACTTCAGTATCTGTTTTGTGAATGAAGCTGTGGTTGTTGATGCATCTCAATGAAGGATGGGGGTGGTTTGGGTTATTTTTTGGGGTGGGTGGTGTCTGAGTCATTGTGGGTTTTTGGGGATGCTAGTCTAGCATCTGGAGAATCTGGCTTACCATTTGGGAAAAATGCAAAAATAAGGGAGTTTCAAAGTTATAGTAAGTCTCACACAAGTAATTCAAGGCCATTTTACAATGCTTAAACTACTCAAAGTTACTCAAATCTGCAACAGATTTGAAAATCTTTTGAGTATTGACGATTCTTATTTAAATCAGAGTCCAGTGGACTCTTCTGGGAGTTGAATCTGCTCCTGGATTATCTCTCTAATTGCAGAAATTGGCTTCATGATCCTGCTCTTTTTTCAGAGTAAGACTGTAGCTTTCAACACTGCAGTTAACCTGCCAATACTATCAGACGTTTATAGAATATTTTATTTTTGTCGAACTAAAATGTCTACCTGCTGGTTTTTTTATTTCTTTTCAAATTTGTAGATGTTTTCTGTTTTGGTGGCTACATAGCAAGAGACCAGCACCTGTGAGGGAAGGTTTAAAAACTTGTACCGCCACATTAAGAGGAACTGGTTAAATCAGCAATTGACTATTTATGACATTTATTTTATCATTATCTTGTTAAAAGATTTCTCTCTGTTCTATTTTTAAAGTTTGACTTAAATTTGATGGCAGACTTTATAGGGGTCTCATTTAGTCTCAACATCCGTAATCTATAAAAAAGACTGGTTTGAGGCTTTAAAGTTTGAGTCTATAATATTTTAAAGTCTTAAACCAGTCTTTTTATCTTAAGGATATCAAAACTAAATGATGCCCCTAAAAAGTCTTCCATCCCATAATTTCTGGTTGCAGTGTCATACCTTCACTCTTGACTTTCCTTTCTGATATATACAACTCTTCCTTAACCAGTTCATCTAATAATTTATATCCAGTTGAAGGAGATATAAATGGAAATCCAAATCCCTAACTCAGATAATCCTTCATCTGTTCTCCACTGCGAAAGCCAGCTCTGCCTCTATGCCCCACAAAACTGAAATTTTCAGGTACTCACCAGTAGATGTCAGTCTGAGTATGACTGTTATCACACTGTGAGGCAAATTTTTCTTAGTCATACCAGTGTAGTAGACACAATAGACAATGTAGAGTGTGCATGGTTATTTTCAGGTCCAAATGATTTCAGGTGAAACCCTTGTGGTGGTGAGGCAAATCACTTGTTGGACCAAGCTACAAATTTCTAAGCCAGAAAGTGATAGTACTTTTTGATACAAACTTGTCCTGTTAGTTGTCAAAAAAGCAGGCGGCAGCTGCTGCTTACTGATATGATTCAGAAGAGGTGTGCCAACTGGGTAATACTGCCTAGAAGACATGATACATGTGGATAGGTTTATCATTGTTTTGTATTGTAATAGGCTATGTTAGCCTGAATGTTTCTGTGGTTGAATTGAGTATTGAAAGCTAATTGTGTTGTTATCATACTTTCCTTATAAATTAATAGTTGTCTGAAATCCCTTGCGGCAAAGCATAGGCTTATTGGCCAAAGAAGCTTTCTTTTTTTTTCTTTTTTTTTTACCTCCCTACATGTTGTTACAGTATGATTATACAATATTTTGGCAAACCAGATTGCCAGCCTGTACTACAAAATATATAAAAAGAATCTAATAAGTGATTATTTAAAAGTATCTTTTCAAAGACAGTGAAGGATAATGATGGCAAATGATGGTGGTTTGTATTGAACAGTCTATTTAAATTCATCTTGGCAACTGTCAGACGTGCTATAGAAATTAGTACTAAATTTGGAGGTGTGGAGGAATTAGTAAATTGACTTAAAGATCATTAAAAAAAAAAAAGAGATTATTTTTAACACCTGTGGAGTGAAGAACGATGAGCCACTAAGACAGTTTACTAATTACCATTTAAAACCATTTTTTAAAATTTTTTTAGAGGCAAGTATCATTTGTTTAAGGAACAAAAAAAGCAACAAGTGATGTATTTGGTGGTGTTCATATTTTCTACCTGAATCCCTTGGCTTGCTGAGGTGCGGAAAAACCTGCTTGAGCCTCTGGACTTGTCTTTTTGTGCTGACCTTCACTCTCAGCAGTATGTTTCTACTTCTTTCAAGTGCTTTAGGTAGAGTGTTTGGGGGTGTTTTTGTTTTCTTTTAGAGAAGAGAGGAGGACTACATTGCAGGTACCATAGCAGCATCTGGATGATTAACATTTTCACCTTTAACCGTTCCATGTTAAGCTGTGTGAACATATTAGTGTACCTCTATATTGCTGTACATGGAGATCCTGCTTCTTCTGTAGGTAAGCCCTCTCTAGGGCTCTCCTGCTCTCATGGTCCACATGAACAAGGCTCCGTGGATGGGGCAAGAGCCTACCTTCTTCCCCCTTCTTTTGTGCACTGTTGGAAAGTAGTGCTGCCTCAGAGTGTAGACACGCATGACAACTGAACCTTTGCCAAATGTCACTGATTGGGGGCCAGTTCACATTGTGTGAAATGTTGTGGCTTTGGCACCAAGAGATATGAGTAAGTACCAAGCCCAGTGTGCCTTGCAGTGGAGGGGGCTGGGAGAGAGTGCTCTTGAGTGTCCCAGGGGGTAGATTACCTGTGCCTGGAAGTGTTTTCATTTTTCGGCTTTTCCTTCTCTCCTAAACGTGGCTTCAATAAACTTCAATAGCTTACAATTAACCAAAGTCTGCAGTGTGCCTGCCTGAGTTGGGAGGATGGGAAGAGAATGCTTGGACCCATGCGTTTTGGGTCCGAGGGGCAGAGGGGACATAAGGGGGACAGTGCAGTCAAGTAGGGATTGAGGAAACAACTTGTTAGACTTTATTGAACAAGCAGTGTAAGGGAGCTCGTTCTTTCCTTCTTTCTTTCTTCTTTTAATTACTAACAAAAGGGGGGAAATGGCAAATGGTAGAGTTTTGGCTGTGTACCAGAGGGCCAGTTGCAGTATTGTGGGTGAATAGCAACGCAGTATGGGATGCCTTGACGACTGATCAGACCCGTCACAGAACACTTGGGCTAGGTACAGATATTCAAACAGCCTGAGGTGGACCCGATCTAAGTTGCATGGTTTTCTGTAAGCGGCATAGTTTACATCTGTAGTGAACAGAACATCCATTTGCCCTTTGCGGAGGCGCAAACCGTAGACCAGGCCTTTTAAGCCAGTCTGTATGTGCTGAACTCCTGTTATGTGTATAGACTGGTTTCCAATCACTTATACCAGTAAAAGTGTAATGTCTATATCTGGCCTTGGAGTCCACACGTCACACTAAACTGGTTCAAAACAGCACTTGATTTGAGGCTGCTTTAACAGGCTTGTATGTTTGCTTCAGGTTCAAATTGCATTAAAACCATTCTAAGTGTTGTATTTAACTTAGAGCCTGCCTGTACTAAGGATTATTAGGGAGATTAAAGGAATAAAAGCAGTTAGAGATACAAGAGGAAAAATGATCTGGTCAGGCCGCAGCTGGAGTACTGTGTCCAGTTCTGAGCACCACGCTTCAGGAGGGATGCGGACAACATGGAGAGGGTCCAGAGGAGGCATGATCAGGGGGCAGCAGGG